GCATTTAGACATACCTTTATAATTTACAATTATGCCCAAAGTCTTGCCCCAAAGAAGAAAAGGAAAAGATCTGAAAAAGCACTAATACCAAAAAAACATTATTTTGTCCTTTATGGACAAGTAGGTTAAATATGACACTGGTATGTAGCTACTGCCAGAAGTCTACATAACCGGTTTGAAATTTGAACAAATCAAATTCAAACATACTGGTTGTCCCTCAGCTGACAAGACACCTACCATCTCCCACGGTTAACGTGCAATAACAGTATGCGATCACTGAAGAGTAACTGCAAGAGGCCTGAGGAAGAACTAAGGAAACCTGCTGATACTCCAGAAAACAAAATTAATTGCACTTTCTGGGCCAGGGAATTAACTGTATGGTCTGATATATGTGGACTTTGATTACATGAGTACTAGCCATCAGTTTCTCCTCACCTAGCTCTTATTTTTCATCTACCATCTCTTTCCAAGATGCTATGACAGTGTAACTTTGGGCCTCTTTTGGACCTTTCTATTACCTTTCTTTAACAAGATCTGTGTGTCTTTAGAGGGGAAGAAGGGCTTATTTATTTTTAAATTAAATGAACCTCATTTCAATAGAGCAGATTTCAACCAGCAGGTTTAGTGTAACTGAATTAGGTATCCTTCAATTCCTACCTTTGAAATGACCATAGGTATTTTGGGGAATTCTCTCTGCCCTCCCTGCTGCATTACAGAAGTCTACCAACTCCCAACTACCTATCTATAGTAATAGCTATATACAAAACTACTGCATCAGAAGTAAACCAAAGCCACTGCTCTAGTTACAAAGCACCTGGTTCACATTCTGTTGTACTTTTTAAGGTTGCGAAGGCACATGATCATTTGGCAAACTGCAAAGACTGTTTTGGGGGATCCCTATGTAAACCATTTAACAGAGGGTCTTGGTAGCTCTCTTTTCTAAGGAAAGGAGGTATGCTAGTTTTCATCTGAATTTGCTCTCGGTGTACTCTATAGTCTACATTTTTTAAAGTTTCCTGCTTCCACAGTTTCTTAGTTATTTACTGCTGTCACAGTGCTGACTTAGTAGCTTCTGTGTTAGCATCCTTGAAACTTAAACGCAAAGGAAAAGTTTTAACAACTTTGCTCTACCCTGCTCTTCTGATAATTTTATTTACTACGTAAGAAGTAATGAAGCAATGAAGAAAGATATTTAAAATGCATGCCAAAACAAATACGAAGTGCAAATGCATATTAACAAGGCTGCAGTAAACAGAAAGTTCGTTTCATAAACTTCTGAAATACATAACAGAAAACCAGAACACCCAGCACCTTCAAAGTGATGCCGTAACAGTCCACTCATGCAACTGCTTTTTAATTGAACTCGACTGTACCTAGAAGCTTTGCCTGTCGCATTGTGCTACTGGTGATACTTTTTTCAACAGACAGAAGACACGTCGTCTACAGTACTATGAATAGTTTGTGCTACACATGCTGCACTCACAGTCAAGAAGGGAATGAAATCTATAGGCTGCAAAAGTGTGAAATGTCTACATGCTGCTTCCCTAAATTTAGCCCCTCCAGCTATAAAAACTTCAACTTGTACTTGTTTGTGAGATTTCTGGGGATCTGGCTTCCCCACATGTTCTGTAAAATGCTGGATGCATTTACATCACCAGGAAAACACAGAAGCAAACCTATTTATGCGTGACCTTCAGTGTATTTTGTCCCCCAATTTGGGCATTTGTGGCAAGACGTGGTATTTATCAACAGTCAGCATTTGAGTCATTTTATGTCATGAAGGCCAAATTCTGCCTCTAATGAGCACATACTAATCCAAGTGATGTTGAGAGGCCACAGTAAGATGGCAGTATTTGGCCTCAAACGTTCTGCATCATCAGCAGCTGCTAGAGCACTGAAATACAAGAAAAGATGATTTTAGGTTAGCATAAAAAGCAGAAGTGGATTTGTCTAATGACCAACATGAGTTCAGCAAAAAATAAGTGACTGGGCTAATTGTATCTGGGGCCATGTAGGACTTAATTCACACAGAAATTACTTTCAAAATAACCAGGCCTCTCTACTCATACCATTTGGTTTAAGTTCTACTACAATGTTCCAGTTCCAGCAAATACGCCGCAGGAAACAATCACGTACTGACAAGGAAGATGTAACAGATAACGGGCCTCTTCTAACTCTATGGAAAAGGAAAGGCAGAGGGGAAGGTATATGTGTGGTTAATAAAGACATGAATAGCTGCGATTGGATACTGGTAGCTTTGCAAATAATTATTAGATACTAGATACTGCAGAGCTAAAAGCAGTATGACTGTCTGGATGTTTGTCCCAACACATGCATGCAAAATCTGTACTAACATTTCCATACTATGGCATGTGCTTGTGGTTGGGACACCACAGAGAAGCTTAAGAAATTTGGTGTAGCGGACGTGAACGTATTGGTCATTTCAGTTTACTTCCTTCATCCCACTGCTACACAGGGCACTCAGTTCTTGTCTACTCTTATCTCCCCATTCACTGAACATCTACAGGGCACCTTTAAGACTGGTTCTGATGGCATGCAAGACATCCAGAAAAACTCCTGAAGGAAAAGATAAAAAAATTAATAACCCCAATTATTTACAAACCAAGTTTCTTCCAAAGTTTTGCATGAGTCTTACGTGGGACCTCTTACAGACTAACACACATTACTACAACTATCCGGAGGGAAACAAACAAACGTGAAAACCAGTAGAAATGCATCCTGAAAGGACTTCTCTAAACAGCAGCCAAACAACTTGCACATTCCTCAGGGAAAAAAAAAACAACCCAAAACAGAAAAATAAAACTACAAACAAACAAACCCCAATAAAAAACCCCAGAGATCATGTGTTACTTATAAAGTGCTTTGCATGGACAAGGATAGCAATTTTCCTTGTGCTTTTCCTATGGGCTCAAGAAGCATATTGTAGACTAACGGGTAATGACTCTTCACAAAAATAAGTTCATTTTAAGCAAAGATAGAATGAAATTCCTAACACTTATATTTTAGCAGACAATCTTCTGCCAGCATGACCTTGTGGAAGGAAACTAGGGCTTTTAACAAGCTCTGTGAAACAAATGACTGTTGAACCACCTGTACATACTTGCTCCGATAACAGTTTCTTTCAAGAGAACACTAATTTCCAGTATGCCTGACATACAAATTAGGCCACAGCCCATACAGGGGCTGGAGCAATGCATGGGGTGGAAGGAGAATGAGCAGTGACTACTTCAGCCTCTGTGAGTCTGTATCTGTAAATGCTCTCACCTGCCTGCTGACCCCAGTGGCCCCAGGCTCCTTCCACCTCGTAGGTATTGGCCTCAGATGATCACCAGGGAACACTCAGATTTCACCGGTCTGCACACCACCGCTCGCTCATTAGCTTCTCCACACTGGGAAGTGGCTATTGCTACTACTTAAATTCCTGCCAATCTCAATAAGGAAAAAAAAAAAAAAAACCCAAAAAACCTTACAGCATCTGAAGACCCACAGCAGACAAGAAAAAATTTGTGCTTTTTTTTTCTTTTTTATGTTTTTAAAATGCATCCTGTACACAAAATCAATTCTATTCATGTACCAACATGAATCACTTCATTCTTGTAGTGACTATTAAGTCATTCACTATTGCTGTCTTGCTAATGTTTGTGGAATTAATATGAATACACAGTATTTCAGTTATAATTCCCACTTCAGATTAGTCCAGTCCCTACAACCCCAGTAAATATTTACTGACAAACGTAACAGTCTACCAGCAACACCGCAGAACGCCAGGGTTTTAAAAGCACGTTCCACTACCAATGTGCATTTCTCCCTTTGCCTGGGAGCAACCTTCCGCAGACAGAAACAGCCCAACTCCCCCAGGGAGGGAAGGAAGGACAGTGTCCTCAGCCAGTAACACCCATGTTTAGCACGGACACCACATTCACACACATTTAACTCCTTCATTTATTTGTCATGGTTTTGTCTAACACCCCCACCCCCAACCTCCCCCCAGCAAGAACCTCCCCGCTAGAGGGGGGTCGGTTCTCCTGCCTCACCTGGAATGCTACAGGGCAGATACGAATCAAATTCTGAAAACTTCTGTCAGAGCTTGAATTTCTTTCTAATGTGGTGTGACTTGCCTCTGTACAAATAATTTACATGTAATACCACATACCAGAGAACTCTGCAAACGGATCACATCACAAGATGTTCTACTAGAGGTAAACGATGTGCAGAACTTCATGAGTTGTTTTTTCCCTGACTGGGTAACTTGTCAAAAAGCTACCAACAATTTGAAAACCAGGATTGGAGGACAGGAAAACAAAGCACTGAATGGAGACACCGCCACCTTCATCCTAGTTTGCAAAGTGTACAAAAGGGAAAGACAAAGGGAAGGGAAGCGATGACAGGGAAGAAAGCAATGAGAGGAGTAGTCATCAGCGTAGATCCAGCAAGTACCGTTTTGTTTTGATCTAACAACTTGCCATTAGGACAAGATGCTCCACATTTATACACACACTTATCAGAGGATGTTTAGTTAACAGGATAAAAATCCTTTAAAAAAAGCTCTTGAAAGTACCAAACATAATTTTCGGAATGTCTAATTCTAGGGAGTTTTGTATTTGTATTCAATTCAACCTGAGAACTTTTTTCCTCATTTATGAAAACATTACATATTGGTAAGGTACCTAGCATTAACCTGCACCCTCGTTTAAAATAAAACTTTTAAAGTAGGTACATACACCATTCACAGTCTGTATCAGGAATTCTACAGACTTCAGATGCTGTGGTAGCATCTTTGATAAATACATTGTATCATATGATACAAAAGAAAAAAAAAAAAAGAGAGGACAATCTCGCTACATTTTTTTTTTTTTGAACTTCAGTTTGTTGCTGGACCAACAAAAGAAGGATCTACCTAACCCTTCTAAAAGATGTTGTATATGCACACACCAAGAAAATACTGGAAAAGGAAAAAGGTTAAGGTTTGTGGTTGTTGTTTGTTTTTTGAAGAAGTGATAAAGTAAATCTGAAAAAAGGTGCAGCAGCATCCCCTTTTCCTTCAGATTAACCTCTTCGGCTTTAGAGTAACATCTTCTCCAGCTCCCATCACCCCACACTTTTAATTTTACTGGAAGAAACCCCAATACTATAGACAGATTTAGGTGTCTGACATTGTAATACAGTGAAAAGGGGATACTGCATTGTCCATAAATCAGTGAGTAGTGAGTACACCAGGCAAAAAAAGATCAGAACAGAGGATGATTCTTTTAAATTAGCACTCATCAGATTTTCAGCCTCTGATGGTACGTTGTTAGAGGGAGAAAGCCGACCGGCAGACCATCCAAAGCAAGTCTCCTAAGTTGCAGCAGCAGTTCCATCCCCTCATGCCCGAGCACCACAGTCAAACCACGAGCGCCCTCTCCTCTCTCCTGGGAATGATGCCAACGGCACAGGCAGCCACCGCGGGTCTCCGAATGCACGTGGTGGTTTGTGTTGAAGGAGAAACACTGGCAGCAGAGGATTCTGGTTCCCAAAAAGGTACTTTTTCCCATTGTGTTGGACTGGCAGTTCCATTCTGCTCCACTTTTAAGCTTATGGATATCTTTTCTAAATTACTTTAGGTTTTGCGGAGCAGAATAGAGTTTTGATGTTAAGAAAGTGTTGGAACACAAGACTTAAATAACAGAGTGGGTGCTGCCATGGTGCTGTGGCTACTTGAACGCTGCAAATTCTCCTGTAGAGGGAGGACAAGAGCTTTGTTTAAAAAGGTGATTTCAGTTACTAGGCGGTCAGAGATTTTCTCCAGACTAGCTGAACATTAGGCTGAATATAAAAGGTGTTAAAAAATGCAAACTGTTAAAATTAAAGCACAAAAGAATATATAGTTAGAGAACATTGAATACAGACCCAGCATATTTTACCAAAAAGGAATTTCTTGAAAGCAAGCTGTACCCATTCTTTCCAGGACAGAGGTCTAAAAGTTCAAGCAAAGTCTAATTCATCATGCATTTGAAAATAAAATGCATCAGTTTAATTTCACTTTAAACTCCCTATTGCACATATATCCTCCTGAAAAGCAACAACTGCAATAAATGTGTCAGACTGCAAACTAATTTCTATTCTGCTGTAAAACTGGTTTAATAACAAAAAAACTACTTGACACACCAGTTAACCTTTAAAGACTATATACAGTAAAGTGCCTGAATATTAAACCAGTATTAAAGAATGCTAGAATCTGATTTAGAGACCAACACAGCAACCTATGGTGAGAAAAATTAAGAATGGTGCGATTGTCTACTCACTCCCAGACCGGAAATCAGGCCTTGCTAACAGGGAGCACAACAAATAAAGCAACCCCATGCTTTCTTCAGAATTGCTGAATAAACAATAGTTCTATGCAGTGCTTTCACATGCAATGATCTCCTGAAACTCTACATAGTTTATTTAGCGTCAGCACGCCGTGAGATGGACTGGTAGTCCTATTTCAGAGATGATAAAACTATGGCACAGAGCAAAATCGCTGCCCAAAGTCTTAAGAAGTTTGCCAGAGCCCTGAACAGAAGCCAAAACTAAGATACTCATCCTCTTCATCTTATACTTTAGCCAAAAAACTTCCCTGCCACCCACAAAGAAATTGTATTCTATAGGATTTTTAGGGAGGGGTGTCCAACTATGCTTAACCAAAAGGACTCGGGAGCGAGAGAAAAAGAATCATACACGTAACTTCCCCATGTTGGGTTTCACATGAATTTTGGATTAGTTTATGCCCCTTTCTTGACAGCACTCCTCAGAACTATCCTAATAACGAAGGAGTGAAAAGCAGACATAAGAGACCCTTTGTTCTATTCAACAGGAGTGTGTTGAATGCCATTACATCCAAACAACTGTTCCTTATCTTGGTGTCCTTCCATCCTTTCAAGAGCAAGTGTTTTGTTGGCTTTGTTTTTTCTTAAGATTCTTATTCTGAATATTGGAAACAAACCAGAAATATCCCTGCAAACAGAATTTTAGGCTGACAGCATTAATTCCATGGAATGGCTTGCTCTATAAAGAAGATAACCAAGAAGAGTGATCAGCAATCTGCACAGGGAGGGGGAAGAAAAGGCATCTACAGGGCCTGGTAGGAACAGCTGATCTAAGGGAACACGAAGAAAGCAGGGAGAGGGGCTCTGTGCGTTGTAGGAAATGAGAAGGGAGTACACCCAAGGTCTAAAGCAAGGGTGGCTGGCACAGAGGGCTGTGACGGACCGCAAGCTCTATGTGTCTTTATAGACAGTGGTGACAGGTTCAAGTTATAACAAGAAAAGAATAAAAACTTTATGATGGATCCAATTGCCTATTTTACTAGTTCTACCAACAGATAAAACCCTTGCTCTAAAATACTCTATATATTTGATAATTTTTCTTTCTTCTCTCGGGCACATTTCACCAATCTCCCAACTCTCTTCACAGTATCTTCTAGAAACAGCTCAAATTTTGTCCTTTTTTTTCTTTCAAGAGAAGAAGGACAAAAAAGTCATCAAGTATTGCCAGCAAGGCTAATTTTTAAGAATGACATTCATGCTTAGCTACACTTTCAAAACATGCTCTACTTAATTTATTTTTCAGTCTGCTTTCCTAAACTGCTGATTAAAGATCAATTTATAAACAAGAGATTGCTCCCTCATTACTCATCTTGTCCTTCTGCCCATTTCTGGTAATAATTCAGCTTTTAATAGTCATACAGGGATTTCAGAAGATAAAAGATGAACGATTAATTGGGAAAGGGCAACGGAAAAACAGGATCAGAAGTCAAGAAGCATTTCAGATAGAACGGTAGCTATAAAAAGGTGATTTTTCAGACTTTTCTTCCATTTAAATAAAACCTTAGCAAAGACTTTTTTTGACAAGCTAATGCTAGATCTCCCCTTGCAAAATTCAGGTGCTAATCCGATCTCAAATCAATAGGAGACCAAAATAGGTAACACGTTCATCTAATAATGGGATTAAGTCGACTGAACATGTATAAAATGCAGTTACCAGTAACAACTTTCCCTAGATGAGGAATGTAGATGGCTATACGTATCCATGTACAGGAATCCTTCATACTGGTAGGTGTCGACAGGACTTTCCGAGGAGTAGCTAAAATGCTTTACGTCACACTTTCTATTCTGAAGATGTAAAATGCCTGTAGCTGGTTCTTTTATCTTCTGAAATAAACCCCGTCTGTAGGTGTGGGAGAGAGAACACAGGCAACCTCTTCCGGAGGCTTAGATGCATACAGATAAATGAAGAAACCTGAACTGTCAATTCACCATTTTCTAGCAGGACAGGAAGGTCTTGCCTGAGAGCAATAAATGGATGAAATGAAGACAGCTTTAGGAATTTGCCCTGATACAGCCTGTCCTGCAGGAACAGGATCATCCTGATTCTGCCCTGCTAAGTCTCTGGACACCATTCTGTAACAGCCAATGCTAACCGAAACTGGGACTACTGCAGTCCCGCTCTCCCTCCTGACCTGACCTGTAGAGCAATGACCTGCCCATTGGGCCACACTGGCCCTGAGGCAAGATAGCTCAAGGAGCTCACCTAGCAAATGCTAGCTTGGGCTGGCGGGGAAGGAGAGTTTTCTAACCAGTTTTTGAAGAGCGGCTCTGTTGGTGGTGGTGGGAACCCGCTCAACTGCGTGGAACGGACTCATGAAATCACAGAGTGCCTGCCAGCGCAAGGGTAAGGAGCTGGGCCACAGCTGCTCCAAATGAGATCAGCTTACCGCAAAACTATGAAACCACATACTTAGCCATTTGGGATGTGAAAAAACCAACAGACATTTTTATTCATTGTGAGCCAGACGTCTGATGTGCTTTTTATCAAGCAGAACTTCAGATACTTGCTTTGACTGGTAACAAATTCATTTCCAAAGGATGGATAGCATTTGAAAATCTACACTTCTTACAGAGCCCTTTCAAGCTAGTTGCCACAGTCTTTTCACGCTCATCACATGGAAACTATTTTAATGCACGCTTTCAAAAATCTGTACTAAAAAGATGATGAAGTTCTTTCATGTTGTGTCCAAACAGTATGTAATAAGGGCATGTTCTGAGCAAACCTACTGCCCCTTTTTCCTGGAAGGATTTAAGATGCAGTAACCAATTTCTACTCTCACAAATTTATATGTAATCTGGATTCCTGAGGTCACTACGGTATATACAAGACATCTTAACTGTACTCCTTATCCTGGGGTAGATGCCATGTTTCTCAGAAGAACTGTAAAGAGAAGAATGGTTCCGTTTCAGGCCCATGCCTGCCTTGTCTACTGAAGTAGAGAGTAACTGGCTTATCAAAGGGAAACACCAAATTCCAATACCTTGCCTGGATTACACTCACACACACAGAAAAAAGTATGACAAAGAGGCAGTTTTCTGTTGGATCTTGCACTGATCTGCTAGTATGGATACCATCCACTGGCTAAATAAAAATTTGGAACATACCCTGTTGTGGATAATTAGTATCCTCAGAAGAATACACAGCAGCATTTATGAGGATCTGGTACTTCTACAAGGTACCAAGACAGAGGTGTTTTGTTTTCTTTTTTTAAGTACTGAGATGAAGTGAAGTAAAATAAAAAAGGAATCTCATATAGTATAAACTACTCCTCCAGAAAAGCCTGGGATCCTACAGACCTGTTTTCAGGATTGATAGGTATCTGTTTCTAAACAATATAGCTGAGTTGCATCTTTGAGAACACTGACCCAAATCCACAGGTGTATTTTGGCATCTTCATCCTACATATGCTTCCAAATCTTATTGAAGCAGCAATTATAAACTACAGAAGTTAAACCCCTAAATTCCTTTATGTCAGATAAAGTTAATGATCCACAAAACACAGCCTCCTTTTTGGCTTCATAAACTGTTTAGTGAGAAGCTAAGATCACATTATGGCCATGGATCCCAAACCATGCTCGACATGTAAGAACAGCTGATACAGGAAGAATTCTAATGCACTGACCATACGGCAGGAAACGGGGCCAAATGTGTCTAAGGATGGCAGCATTTCCCCCCGCCCCCCCCATAACCGTAGTTCCTATAGCACAGAAGAACAATCTTAACAACAAGGAGGCTAACACTGCTCCAAGGAATAACTTGTTTGAACTGATCTGGCAGACCTGAAAAAGAATAAGCCTGGGCAGGGCAGTGATGATGGTTCTGCACTCTCCGTAACTCCCCGTGTGGTTAAGCCTTTTCTGCCTGCGATGGTGCATTTCTAGATTCTGCAGGAGACCCAGCAGCATCCTCTTGCTCTTACTGAGATGGGCATTGCAGCCTGTACTGAATACCATACCCCAAAGCTTAAGAAGCATTCCTCCTCACTGTCTAGGATAAAAGAAGAAAGTCATGAAATAAGAGGGGAAAAAACCACTTAAATCCTGTTTTCATTTTAAGATAAGCCTGACAAAATGAGGTGAAGCTACCAGAAGGATGGGAAACCGATTTTCTAAAACAATAACAAATCTTGTCCTCCATAACTATTTCCATAAAGATAGATCTCAACAGCTGAATTTTCTTGATTAACAAAACGAGAAAAGTTAGTTCCCAAACTGTTCCAACAGCAGAAGCCAAAAAGGCCATTAGAATCTGGCCAGAAAATGTAGAAATTGCCTACATCTCTTCAAGCTCTCTAACTCTGCCTCCTGTTTTAAAAGGCTCAGTTGGCAGACAGCAGAAAAGAAAACCTTTTTTTTAATTCCTGATCTATTTCAAAAACCTATTGCTAGCCACATGCAAACTTCCCTATAAGTATGCAAATCAGAAGCCATTAAGAACACTCCTGGCCCTTGAAGTCCCAACAAGAGCAGCAATAGCTTGTTTCCAATGCAGAAGAATCTGTGAAAATTAACAGCTTAGCAGTTTAAAACAAACAAAACCACAACACTAATTTCAAAATATGCAAGAATACAGGCAATAACATTATTGTTTTCATATCTGACATCAAAGACTGATATAACCTGAACCACTACTCTGATTCACCTGTTCCAGAGGAATGCTACCGAGAAAAATATGATCTTTAAAGTGAGCTGACAGGATCTTGGTGTCTAGCTTTCTCAGTTAGATATCTAGTCTAACTGATTCACTTCTAGTCTAGCTAGCAGCTTTGATGTGGAAGTGAAAAAAACAATTTGTCACTGAACAGAAGCATGTTCAGTGGTATTCTTAACAATATTAAAGTAATTAAAGCATTTCACCTTAACAGAATTCATGGTATAATACTGATTTCCATGAAAACAACTGCTTTTTCAAATCCTCTTTTCCTGTTATGGGTGTTAGCAGCCTTTTTCTCTTAAAGTATTTAGTTATGCTTGGAATTTAAAATGTTTTTTTTTATTTTGAAATCTGTGCTAACTGAAGGATACAGGCACCATTACCAGTAATATTCTTGCAGTTCAGCAAAAGCAGATTCAGAACTTCTTCTATGTTTTAGGAAAAAATAAAAAGGAAAAAACCCCATGCCACCACTCTTCTGCAGGAAGAGATGTTCTCTAAACAGCACTATTTTAAACTTCAACTTTCAAAATAAGAGTCACACGTCACTAAGGTCTTTCTTTGGATTCTGTGTTGTATCTGCTCACTTCTGCTGACCACAAGAAGTTTTGACTGTGCTCAGCCTTGACGCTAAGTTTATTTTTCCAATTGTTTCCCACATATGAGTAGCATTACTGAGGAATCTAAAGCCTATTGCTCAAATATAATGACCTCAAATGAAGAAAAAAAAAACAAAAACAAAAACAAAACACACCATAGCTTGAGTAGATTAAAATCAAATACACTCCTGAGTAACTAATTCAAATCAATAAACTAGGCAAAAATGACACAGGCAAGCAAAAATGACACCAAATGACCTTAAGAGGATTTTTGCTTGTTTTGAAGTGACTTTTTGCATTTCTCTTATGTGACCTTATCATTCTTCTTGTGCCAGCTGTTTCCAGGGCATTCCTTACCAACACAGACTTTGTGCTCAGGACATTCAATGCCCAGTGTTAGGAAGTGGGTCTTCATTCCCTCAGTAAACCTTAAAAACATAGCTGGCAGGAACGAAGAACGTACACGTGTGTTGAATGCACAGGAACACACCAGCACACGGACACACAGGCACATGCTTTCACATTTCTTTTCAGTGTACTGGAAACCCACCGTATCCCCCTGCTTGGATGGGTGTTTTTGGAGAAGCACAAGCATATAGACTAAAATCCTCTGTCTGGAAGCCAGCCCGGTTTAATGAGGGCTCAGATGCACTGCGGTGAATTTTTGGCAATGACCGGGCCAGAAGCTCAATGGAGGCAAGAATCTAAAACAAGTAGAAAATAAGTGATCAAATCTGTTGTTGCAAAGTTGTAACAGTCTCTTAAAACCAAAGGCAGAACATCAGTTAACTACAGAAAAATATTTATACACAAATTTAAACAGAAACTTTTAAAAATAGATTACTGCATTGCACTCTGATGTTTATAACCTCAAAAAGCTGAAAAGGACATTTTGGGAAGAACCTGTCTCATTCTCCCCTTTAAAAGGGCATACTGATTTACCTCTGTAAGCATAACGAATATAGTTGCCTTTTATTTGCATCCTTGTTTACACAGTAGTACCTATACCTACCATTGCTGCAAATAAACAGCTCTGGCAGCAGTTTGCTTAATACCATTTACGATGAAGCCAGCAGGGGGAGCTCCTTATTTTTTGAAAACGCTTTGGTTACATTCGAAACAAAAAAAATATAAGGCCCCCCCCAAGCTTCTAGAATCCAAACCTTCCTCACCAGGCATGATAAATCAAGTTTTATGACACAACTATCAGTTTCCCTTCATAAAGCTTGGAAGAGAGCAAGGAGGGGGGTATAAAGATTTCTGAGAAAATATACAGCAAGTTCTAATTTGTGTGTCTAATCGCAATTATTAATTTCGCTGTCTCCCAGTTGAAACGTTCTCCAACACATAAATGCTTCTCCAACCACACAAGTCATTTTAACACTGGCTTTTTGAATTGAAAATAAACATTTCTATTTAAACAGCACTAACCAGCTACTGAACCAGTACTCTTACGAAGTCATGCTATAGCACTAATCAAAAAAATTTTGAACTGGCCAGTGAATTCATAACTGATCTTTATTTTTAGTGTTTGAATTGTAAAGTCTACTGAGAACTAAAGAGGGACATTTCTCACCTGTGGAAAAAGGGGTCTCTCATCTCTTTTCTTTTTTAAGCATTCTGCCATTAGTCTCTTCATAGCTTTTGGACAGTTGCTCCGTACTTTGCTGAGGTCTGGAGATAGGTATCCTCGTCCCACCATAAAAATTATCTTTATTTAAGGCAACAAAAGATGAAGGGGGAAGAAGATGAGTCCATAAAACAAACTAATGAAAGATGAACATCTTGCTAGACCATTTTAGTTCCAGCAGCAAGTTTTTTGCTCCCAGGAAACATTATCTGGTATTGAAATTGCCAAGTTCCTTAGAGTAATGCTTGCTCACCTATTCAGTACAGCGAAAAAATTAGATTTTTCCTCCTCCTCCTAAGAGGGATTTCTGTAAAACTTGAACACTAGTAAATGGTTACCATTTATAGCAATAACCATCTAAGGAACGGTTCTCTGGTGTCAAAAACTGTTACAAAACCAGGAATAAGCAACTCTGTGGCAGGAACAGAATGCCTAGAACTAAATATTCCGTAAAAATAAATACACTGTTTTGTATTATAAGTAAACAGCAAGTTCACACTGAAAGATATTTTAAGAAACACACAGACTTCAGATATTAAAAACCCTTACCTTTTGAGAATAAATTCTTTCATATATTTCACCACCACAAAAGCTTATTCTTGACATCTGACCACCTTCCCCACCCCCCAAAAAAAACCACAAAAGAAAAACTGCCTCTCCTCTGTAGAAGAGGAGACAGACAGGCTTTGTATTTTTACAGTAATTTCTTTACCATGGAAGGCTTATATTTCACCTAAGGATAAAACTTAAGCATAAAACAAAGTAAACTAACAGAAAGCAGGAAAGCAAAGCGTAAATATGTTTAATGTTGTCTTGGATATTTAAAAAAACATCAAACATCATCATGTCAAGCCAAGGTCAAATGCAATGTGGTTTGAGTACTGCAGTTGCACTGACACTAAAAAGCCCTTTCAAACTAGCTAATCAAAGATCCATTCATACTGCAGCAGATAATCGCTACCTTTTCTGAATACTCAGACAGACCCAGCAGGTGTATCACACCTTATATTCAATGAAATGTAACTATTCCATATCTTGACACTGGCAAAAAAAACCCAGAAAAACCCCACATCTCAAGCAAGCTATACGTGTTATTTATACTAACACAATCCTGGTCCTTTTTCAACTTTCTGATTCAGTCACATCTGTGCTGGCATCAAGGAGTATAAAACTCCCATATGGTTTCTTTAGAAATCCCCATGTGCCAGAGCAGCATTTCATAGTAAAGACTTGTCTACCCCGTCCCTTACCTCTGCTGCAATGAGACTTACCATTATCTAGAAGTTACTCTTTTCTAAATAATTACACTACTTCAGTTGAAATTATTCAGAATTTGTTGTTTCCAATACTGTCTTTACAAACAATATAGGGATTAAACTTTTGTTTTAACTAGAGAAAAGATACTATCACTACAAGAACAGTCCTAGTCTGTCTAGAAAAATCTGTTAAGGTGAGAGAAACACTTTGAGGTGTAACAAGAATGATGCTTTGCTCACTAAGATTATTAGTGATGTCATAGTAGCTGATGTAGATGCACCAGAGCGAGCAATATTTACGTCTTTTCACACAATAGACTGGGAGTGACAAAACACAAGACATTAGATCACATTTTATACGTTGGCTTCACTTGCAATTTAAAATTTTGTTTCAGCACACAACTGTGAGCACCCACAGCACTAGGTTCATCTTTCAAATCTCAAAAGGTAAAAACAACAATGCCCAAATACTGCTTTTACAAAGCTATATCCATCTGGTCAGGAATCTGGACATTTCCCTTCTTTCAAAAGGGGGAAAAAAATTAAAAAAAAAGGAGTCACTCCAAATTTGATGAATTGGGATGAAGTATTCTGACAAATATGGAAGCAGCCTTATAAAATGGCATTCACAGATGAATGTTGCTATGGTTGCAATTCTCAAGTACTGACAGTGAAAAAACAAGAGATGCGGACACAGATACAACATAAATACATCACCGCCCAGACATGGAATAGTTTACACCAAAGATCTTGATGCACAGATACTATTTTCAGATTAGACAGAGAAATAATGGATCAGATATGCCTTCGCAAATGTGCCTATCCTGTGGAGATATATTACAGCTGTGTGGTATCATTAGACTTAGGAATATTTGTTCACAATTAAGTAATCTTCTTACAGGATTCACACACTCTGGAAAGTCATATACTCCATCAAGCAGGACTTGAGAAATGCTGATACCCTGAAATTCAATTAGATGGTGCATGCATTTCTCAGGATTGAAATTAACATAAAACACTCAGTGAGATGATTGCTGTTCCATTTTGTCAATCCAGTTGCTGAACTATTATTCAATGCAAGGGGGGGGGCAGGGGGAGAGGAATAACTGAACATATGGAGGAGCATTTCGCCTTTGCAGAACTATTCTAAACTAGATTACTATTAAGTAACCTGCGCTCTCCCTAATAAGTATCCTGGCAACCAGCTCAGAAGCTGAAAATCTATACTTAAAGTAAAAAAGAACAAAAAAAAACCTCAAGAGGAATAAGTAAATTGGCGCTACGTGGCTGAGGCAGATCTAGAAAATGTAGAAATGTAATCTCATAACATCAGAAACACAAATCAAACACACAAAACATCAGAATGTGCACTTTACAAGGCTGAATCGATCTCTGTTTCAGGCCACAGTTGACTGAAGTCAGTCCCTTCCCTTACCTGGTCCCTGTTGTTGATCTTTGAGTATGGTAACTGTCCAGTCATCAATTCATAAAGAACAATCCCAAACGCATACACATCCGACTGAAAGCTATATGGGTTTTTATCTTGCATCCTAATTACTTCTGGTGCCTGTACCATAAAAGGAAAGAATTAATTTTTATTTCACCACATCAGGCTGCACCTCACATATCAGGAACAAAACATGGGCTTGTCCAGAGTGTAACAGGTGCAAGGCCCACTCCTGCCTTCAGATGTTACCAGGTCCTAATATAAAGTGGATGTTGACATGAATCTCAAAATCCATTGGTTCATTTTTAGCTTTATTCCTTTACAACAGAACAAAATGACCTTGTCCGGGCTGAGAAGCTATTTTGCAACTAGAATTACAACAACACTGAAAATAATGCCAACTAACAGAGCCTTCAGTTTTTTCAGGGAGAAAAGGAGAAAGTGGAGTTGCACAGGAGGTTGTAACTATACTTCTTACTAAGACTTAAGCAAGTTGTATGACCTCTTGAGAGTAACCATGCTTGAATCCTTAAAACTTAAGAGCATCTTTCTTTTGGCTGACCTAGTTCCTCTGCTCCTTTGCAGGATGTTTTCCATGGCTTTTCTCACCTTCTCCTCAGCCCTGGATTAATCATACCCTTTTTCCTTAGCTACCATTTTCTCTTCAGTTTAAACGTCAGAATAAGGGATGAAGACACTAAAGTTTTTTTGCTGACTACTGGAAAACATATGCTTAAAGAAGAACTGAAAAGCATTCATTTAGTACTTCATATTACTGCTTGTCTTTTCCAGCTTAAGACAGCTTGTATATGTCAGTGTGCTAGAAGGATAGTCTTAGAAACTTTGGCCAAAGGCAATTAAATTTGTTGAAACAAACACACCACTTCCCCCTTGCTTACCATCCATAGAATAGATCCAGACAACTGTTCAAGCTGATGGGATCCGCTCCATCGTGATTTCACTGTCGCTAGACCAAAATCACCTATTTTTACTGTGAGGTCTTCATGAAGAAAAATATCTAAGGGGGAAATGTTAAGGGAAAACAAACAAGAGGTACCGGTCCTGTCCTACAAGAACAATCAACATCTACAAATTTGCAACATTAGACATAACAGTTTTAAACATCCACCACCACTGAAGAAGGTTTTCATATAATACAGGTTCTAAGCAGCCAGCATGGTGGATTATGGTACTTAAGGGTTACCTAACTAATGACCGGGCCAGTGCTGAACAGACCATGGCCCAGGTGGCTTTCTTGAAATGCCAAGTACTTTTTTGAAATGCCAACTATGAGAAAAGCTGAAAATATTCCATGAGTGAACTGGCATAATCTTTTGCTACACGTAGAAACCAAATGATGCAAAAATCTTTGTGATAACCACAACAAAACTTGCTACGTTATTGCAATCACATCAATAGACATCGTAAGTATTCCTTACTTGGCTATTAGTAATATTACCCCTTCTCAATGAAATTTCAACTCAGCAAATGTTCACACATGAACAGCTTTTCACATCAGTAAGTTAATTTCTGGCAGAAAAAAAAAAAAAACCAACCCAACACAAACAGGAATGCTGTCATGCTCCACAATTACACCTCTGGGAAAGGATACTATTACTCTTGAGGTCTCTGTGGATGATTGACTTGGCATGCAAGTAACTGAAAAGGAACATCATAGATTAGGTGGGTTAAATAATATTTCAATAATCAACAACAACATGAAATTCACTGTATTGCTGAAACATAAATTCTGCAGATATTCAAACTGCACATTTTTATCAAGGTGGTAAAACTTCAGTTACCCATGACAGTTCTGCAACAGTCACAGGGAAAAAAACAAAAAGAAAACAAAGCTTAGATTTCCAGCTCAAACCTGATGCTACTGAAGAATGAAGTAACCATTATGGACCAACTTCTGCTTTTCAGTTCTAACTCAGTATTCAGAATAAAAATAAAAGAACTTCGGTAATTTTTGACATGCTATTCAGTGCTGAAGGTTCTGCCTGCCAGCCTTAATGGTGACTGTCAAGACGCTCTGCAGGCTAGTCACGGCTTTAGGTAACGCGTTTCTAAATTGCGGGAGCTAAATGTGCTTCTCAGTCTCAGTGTACTCAAGTATGCTGACTGCTTTTTAGTGTGGGACTGGAAAAAAGATCCCCTGATTGCGGACTAGATAAACAGATTGCAGGGAACACAGAGGAGAGTACTTGCCCCACAGCATAGATATAGCCTAAATTAGGCAACTAGTCTCCCATGGGTCTTTGTTTAGTCAATGAGATTGTCACAAACCTGCTGGAAAAGCCCCAATTTATGTCTCTGCTCATGAATCATGCTCATGAAACAGCTTCTGCATCTCCACTACCTACAGAGGGAGCCTGGGGAGATGAGCAGGCTAACGGAAGGCTGAAGCTCCTTGCTGCAAACACCTCCCCCCGTCTTGACTGAAAATGTAATAGAATACTTAGTAGAAAAATGGCACAATTAACTGCAATCATAGTGGTTTTCCAGCTGGAGGATGATTTCTCTGATCTTACATCAGTGTTCTGATTTTGACACACAATACTGGGCTAGTTTTGTAAATTCCAACTCTCTCAATTGCCCTCTATGGGAATAAGGATTACTTACAGTCCTTAGAACAAAATATGTATGTTTTCTTCAAATGCTGAAATCTGTTATTTAGAGAGCTACAATACTTATAAGAAAAGGAGAAAAAAAATCCATTCTTTTTGCTAACAGGGCTGTCTGCTTTCTGCGTTATCTCACAGGATTCTGTCCTTTCATTCACAGGGTATTTCTTTTTAAACTATGTTTTACCTCATACTCTAAGACTGCGAAGATTGTAAAGCCTGGAACAGAAATCTTTGCTCACAAGATCGAAAGTTTAACTACACTGTAATTATCTTTATTCTATTATCTAAGACTATATTTCCTGGATGATTTGTATTTCCCTATGTTCCAAAAAAAGAACACAAAGTGTATTTTACTAATGAAAACAATAAACGCTTCACCAAATGCTATGATCATCAAGGCAGAATCCTGGGCTTGGCAAAGCGAGCAGATAGCTGGCCTTATTTGCCAATGTCAGTCAGAGTGTGTGAAGGGAATAAGTAAACATTGCCCCAACGTTCATTTGCAAACAAGTAATACGATACTTACTCCATGCCTTGTGCAGTCTGTCGTGCAATATCAATTAGTTTGATCATTTCAAATTTGGTCTCAATGATGTGTAGATGGTGATATAAGCTGGACCCCTCACACCATTGTGTAACAATAGCCAACTGGGGTTTTGTTGAATAACCCATGAAAAGCAGGATATTCACATGTCGTGTTTTCCTGTTGGAAAAAAAAATAAATCAGGAAGAAATCAAGCGGATCAGGAAATCAGGAAAAACCCAGACAGATCTATCACAGTCTGAATATATATTTCCAAACAGAAGTTGCTGGGTCAATCTCAACTTTTACTAAGATAACATGATAACCTGTTGCTAGATTCAGTTTAATGAATTATTCCAGCAGTTAGCCTTTCTTATCATAATGGCATGGAATAGCTATTCTGGGGTAAGCACCGCTTCCTCTTGCTTTTGCAAGCAACGCAGCACAGGACTGCTCAGAAGATGCTGTTACCACTAGGTCCCCATGGGACAGCGACAGTTTGCAGGCAGGTCTGCTTTTGTGTAACCCCAGTCCAACTGTAAGATGTTGCTGCCCATAAGGAGGACATCCAAAATGAAATTCCAGTCTCAGGCTTCCAGGAAGGACGCTTTCATTCAGAAACCATCAAGACACTTCCTTGCCAAGGCTTCAGTTTTTCTCAGCACTTTATTTGACAAGAATTTTGTACTCTCTATAGAGCCAGCATACAAGAATGGATGGAAACAGGTATAAAAACTGTACTTCAGTGAGGCTATGACATGAACTTGTTTCCAAACAGCACTGGGAGAGACTGGAGTTCACCACAGAAATTTGGCCAGATTAAATCAAAGCTATTTCAAAGACGGAGCAACTCCAGACAGGAAAACTCCACAATGAACAATGCAGAGAGGATTATCTCAGTAGATAACCGAGTAGATTCAAGGCCTGAAAGAATCTACTGAGCAATGTGAAGTCTGAAAGATTCTCCTCACCCTCCAGGAAAAGTCAATCACATTCTTATTGTCATCAGATGGACATGAAGAACTAGATACCTCCAAACATACCAATGACATTACAAAGATGAGGCACCTAAGAATTCTGGAGAGTTTCCTAGCTTTCCTAGGGGCTGAGGAAAAACAAAGGCAATCTTCTTCCAACACAGCTCAGTACCAAAGGCAGTCAGCTCACTGTTGATGAAACCTGACAGACCAAGCTTAAAACCTCTGGTAGCTTCTTAAATCTATGCTGCTGCTGAAGATGGCAGAGCTCTTTATGTTTTCTTGTATTAAAAAACTAACATGGGAGCCTGGAGTGTGAACCCCTTTGTCCTCTCAGCAATGCAGACTAGGACAGTTCTACACTATGTGACTGTGCCTTTTTCAGGTTTAAGGATTTGTCAAGTGCTGCTGAAAGTAACTGCTGAGTGAACAAAAAATAAGTGGTTTCGTGCAAATCCTACCTCAAAGCTAAGAAAGTAACAATGAAGCATAATGGAAAAGGCAGAACTACAGATAAATCTGACTTGTCTGGGTCAAAGGATAGGACAACTGACTATTTGCTGTACGTGCCGAAATGATCAACAACAGAGGAAGGCTGGACTCCACCTATTGGACTCCCAGGAGAAATCTGGACTAGGTATGAAATACAAGTTTTTTGATTTCATTAAGTTCTCCTGAGCAGGTATGGCAAAAATACGCATAGATATCCAATGCAGCATACTCCAGAAAGCCTCTGCTTCCACAACTATGGGCTTAAGAGTTTTCCGTACTAACATTTTCTGGGGAAAAAGGCTGACCAACCCCTTTTCACCATCTAGCTTATTGGGGATGCTCCTCCAGCACAGGCACCCAATTCAACACATACGTTTTCCAGAGGCAAAAACCTTCTGTTTAGTTTCTTAAAACAGAATATGCTCAAGACTGCTCAAGATTGTACTTGGATGCTAATGGTCTTCCCCAATAAATATTCTATTGTATCATGTTGATGGATCCGCTTTTAAGAACTGAACCCAAGACAAATACTTCCTCTGAGAAAGTACAAGCAGTAGACATCAGAAAAGGAAATCAAGAAGTGACTTTATAAGAAATACATTTAAAAAAACCTCAAAGAGAAGTCAATGCTACTGAACAGAAACTATCAAACAACAGATAATACGGGCAGTTCTGTAGCTCAAAACCAACAATTAGTCGTGCTCTCCTTCAATCTCAAAACGTGGATGAGAGGCAAGAAAGGCTTACAGTTCGTACTTAGGCTTGACTGTGCCCTGGGGGTAGTACAATAGCAAAAACCAGTCCTGTCTTGAGTGTTTGGACATACATATATTCACAACATAGGTGTGTAGACAAACACATACAGGGGAAGAGGGAACTAGCAGTGGATACAAAGAAATACTTTAGAGTGGCAAGCTGTATTTTCTGCCCAAAGTATCATTGTGGAGGAATAAGACCAATGTGCTCTAATGGAAATCTAAAATTCAATGATTAATGAAGCATAAATCTACACTCATTATTTTATGCTATTAAAAATATTCTTACCTGAGCACTCCTACTTCATTTTTGAAAGCCTGTAACTGTTGAGGTGTGGGTGCCGTAACATTCAACATTTTCACTGCCACATCACCTTTAAAATAGCAATTTTTAGTAAGTGCCATTGATACGCATTCCTCTACTGAGAAAATGCTATATAGAGCATCAGAAATATTGAGATACCCTATTTTCTAGCTTTTGTGAAATAAACCACCACAATATTAAAATAAGTAAATATTCTGTAAAATGTATAAACATTATCCTTATTTTACTCTGAGAAATCCTAGCCAAGTCAAAGCTTTTCAAATACACATTTGAAATCCTTATTCATCAAGGTGGGCACTTCAGCCTTTCTATAGTAACTATGTTTCATCTTTACCCTAATAATTACTTCATTCTGAAGAACATGCAAGAGTTGAGTTTCTGAACAGTTTGAAGTTCTAACATCACCCATTTACCACACTACTTACTAATGTAAAAATAATCTTTATGGCCCTTCAGTGCTCTCTCCCTGGTATGTCCATGCCTCTCTTGTACTGAGACCCCCAGCAGGAAACATTACTTGCTTAAAAATAACTGTTTGCCACAACAGCCACATACCATGCCACTTCCCTTTATAGACTGTTCCAAATGATCCAGATCCTATCCTTTGTCCAACTGTGATCTGTCCATCTGGTATCTCCCAATCATCACTTGAATCCCGTCGACCAAGGGTTTTCTTTATATAGATATATGCATAAACAATAAAAAGGAAGAAAGCAAGTGCATTAATGTCTGTGAAAACGGCTCCTTTGTTAAAGATTTGGTATCAGCATTTCCTATCATTAAAGTCCTAAAAGAACTTTCTTTTTCAGATACTGCATTTGACTTTTCAAGCCAACCATACACAAAACCTCAGCACACAGGTATACTAAATTATTTCCTGGCATGAAATATTTGCCACAGGTTTCTGGCAGCGTTAAACCCAGTAAATATTAAGAAACTCTTACCAAAAAGAAAGTCTCATTTATTTTTCAGTTCTTATTCAATCATAATACTAAATTATGAATTAAAAAAAAATGCAGACATTTTTATGTATTGTTACATTTGAGAATCACTAGAGAAGTGGGAAAAGCTAAGCTGTTATTTGAAGGGAAACTGGCATTACAATATGAAGCACACCAAGACATTTGGGTGCAATGGAGTAAAAGCGAGTATAGTCAATTATTGAAATGATTTATGTATCAGTCCCACAATTTCAATATTTCATTATTTATTCATTTAAAGTCCTTGATCATTACCATATTCATCTTCAAAATAATTCAGAAGGCTTTGATGAAAGAAAAGGAAGAGGAACACGGTTGTGTAGTATTTCTATCCTATGAATATACCATACTATGAATGAAATAGCTGATCTTTCCCTTACCATTCTATTTCTGTCTTCTGAGGATGAGGATGATTTCCTTTCCCGCTGGGGTCCTGGTGATTTCTGTAATGCTTTCACATTGGTGAGTGACCCAGGCAAAGAGGCGGGAGGTGTTGCAGACAAACCTGCAGTTGAACCTAAATTTCAGAAACAGGATAATTTTATCTGTAAGAAGCCAGCTTACAAGAACGTATTGATACTAGGTGCAAGAATTGTGTTTAAGATGCAGTATCTCCAAACATCAATGTAAATGTTAAGGGGGAACAAACATATACTAGGAATGTTGTCCTAATATTAGATTAGTGCTCAAGTCTTAGATTTCAGGAAGAGACAAGTCTATAGCAAACATCCCTGTATACCAGATAGTCCCCAGTCTCTTGTTCATGAATTATCAGAAGGACAATGCCTCTTTAAATAGAAAGAAAAAAAAAAATTTTTTTTTTTAATTCCACCAGTTTCTTTGAGAAGAAAAGTAGTAGCATTTTAGTTAGCAGCAGCTACCTCTCAGATTTCTTGTAGCTAACCTTTTAGGGACCCAATAAATAGCTGAAATACTGTACTTTGGAATCAAACTAAATGCAAAAAATTGAGATGTTTTCTAGTTGAGTCTCCAAGTGCCACCTGAAAACCATTTGGCTGTTTTAAAGCTATCTGTTAGCAGAGAGCTCTTATTTAAAAGTAAATATTAGACTGCAGAAGGGATTAAGAAAGAACAAGTACTTTAGTTAGCTATTTGAAGCATATTCTATTAAATACAAACCGAACAGTACATCCGTAGCCTGTATGTTATCTAAACAAATCTATGCAGGAAAATGTCACTAACTGAGCCGTGTTTCAGATCCCCAATGGGTCTTTACAAATAGAGCACTTCAACTAGACACTGCTTTTTAAAATACACCATAATTATCCGTAACAAGGTTATGCTGACCCTCCCAATGCAAAGGACATAAAATAGGGTCAACTGTTAATTAAATTCATGCTGCTCTGCTAAACAATGTATGTCATTGTACAAGACCTCCAACATTCCAATGCTTTCTCTCACATCAGTCTTCTGGGAAGTGGTAGAAGACAATACTCCTCCTCATATTCCTTCAGAAGCCCCCTTCTTACCAAAAAAGTGTCTCCTAATGACAACTTGAGTTAAAAAATTGACTTGGTGACTTTTAAAACTGTTGCTCGAGTTCAGTCACTCAGCGCGTGCTAATTTATCAGACTATATATATATCCATCACTGCCTGTCTTCACTGAGCTAAAATCCATACATTTAGAAGTGGAAGCAAAAAATAATGACATACCAATGCATCAAAAATGGGACGCAGCATCCATAAACTTTGTCCCGCAGGCTAAGGCAACAATAATGATGCATATTGGGCATCCTAACTACATGTACAAGCAACTGGAAGCCAGTGACCTGAAGGATGGACTTTTGTTCATATTCATGTTATGGTCACTATACTGTCATATATTTATTATATTATTTGTCTGAAGTCACACATATACAGAATTAATTGTATGATATTCCCAGAACACGAGCAATTTTCCAGAAGTTTACTGGGTTACAGACTTTCTCTGTAATAGCAAAGCTCTACTACAATGCGTTTTCTTTAGAGATAACTAAAGTCTCCTAGTTAAATTTTAATACCATGGTATAGAAGCACTAGCACAATATTCACCCTTCACCAAAAACGCTTACAGCACATGGTAGAACATTATAGTTAATCTGTTCATAATAATACCAGATGGCCTGTTTTCCAAGTTATTAGAGCAGAATACTTCAGATAATGTTCGACTTAAGTCATTAGCTTGGACTCTGAAGCTGTACGTAACGTATTCCATTCTGTAGCCAGTTTGCTTGTTGGGAACACCTGTCTTCTTACAAAGACTTCTGGAAGAACTTTACAAGTACATAAGGTGAACTGCTCTTGATATATTCTGAAACAAAAGTCTTTGAAACAGCCAAGAAGGTAGCATTTGAAAACCACACTACATGCACTAACTACCCATTTCTACATGTATACTATAGACACAAATATTTACATTTCATGCTATTACTCAACAGTTGGTTTCTCCAGCATATGAAATCCCACAGAGTTTTTTGGGATTTTGTGCAATACAACAGATCCATTGACAGCTTTAGGCCTGAATCACCCCCAGAATCAATGACATGAAAACGGAATAGTCTTATTTTACATGGTACAGGGCACAAACAAACACTGTTTCACCGGGAATTTACTAACTATATGAAAACTACATGGTAAACCATCTAGGGACCCAATGTGGTATCAATAGCACATATTCAAAATGAAGTATTTGTTGAAAGTTGACATGACACATTACTTGAAAAGCCTGAGACCTAGCAAGATATCAATGGAAATGTTTGTAATTCGCATTTGATTTCCTAGATTACTTTTCAAAACAAAGAATATTAAATACAGAAAACTGTTGAAGCACTGAACTGACTTAAACTGAACAGTCAAGGAAATTCTAAGTTAAGGATATCACTTTGTCTTTAAAATCACTGCAGTGCAATCCAAGGACCTTTGTTTAGAAAAATTTTAAGGTCCACATAAAAGCCTCAACTATGAAATTCCTTGCTTTTGAAGATTTAAGTCAGACTTTATTCATAGTCATTTTCAAGCGTGTAAAGGTGAAAGTGAGTATGTGTGAAAAGCACATTCAAAGCATTCCAGCCAGGCCAAGCAAAAAACAGAGGTGTTTTGATAAACTCACACACTTACATACACACGGTGTGAGGGTGAGGCACAAACAGCATCTGTGGTTTTACTTATTTTGTTTGGGTGAAAACAAGAAAGAAGAGCCCAACTACCTCTGAACACTGGGCCAGGCTCAAAATCAAACACTATTTCACTGGGGACAGAATGAAGGAGGGGACTGGGAGTCCGGGATTGGTATTTCCGAAGACAGCGCATCAGCTGGTTCAAAGGGGCTGTTAGAGAGAAAGAGACGGGCAGGCAGAGACAGAAAGACAGACACATAGAAGAAATGAAAGAAGTCATGGGAAATAGCTAGGATGCTTTGACTCCTATTCATAGATTGCTTCTGTACTTTGAAGGAAAAAAAAAAAGTCAATTACTAATAACACTGTTTCAGGACTGGGAATAGCCAATTGTTTTCAGATGCCAAGCAGACAGTTTATGATCAAAAGTTAAAACCAACATGATAGCACAACATTTAAATGCTGGACAAAATGGGCGAAACTGTGGAGAGCCACACCTATCAACACATACAAAAATAGCTAAAACTAGCAACTTTAAATCAGTAGGCTTGCAGGATTAAAGGAAGTTTCTTTTTAAAAAGCATTCTTTTGAATGCGTAAGAAAAAACAGCTCCATCAAACACACGCAGTAGGTAGGTACCATCCTACCAACTACCAGATTTGGCTGGGAGAAACAAAGTCAGTGACAGCCCACAGTACAAAACCTCAGAGATCAGGATAGAGTGCACTAAGGTAATTCAGACTTTAGTTATGGCTGAAGCAAGTTATAATTAGTAGGAGACGACTGTGTTAATGATTTGGAGTTGGAAAAACTGTCATATGCCTGCCCTACTTACTATTTGTTTCTGTTATTTCTGTATTATTATTATTATATTCATAGGAATAAATACAGCACATAAGAAACCCTCTCAGGACCTTGACAGCCAGTGGGAGAAGTGACTTAACAGGCCCATGCACAACATGTGAAGAAAAATAAATCTCCTGGCACTAGTTCTGACTTAACCATGAATTAGGGCTGTGTGTTACTGAAGGAAACATAAAAAGACCTGGCTTTAGTGTAAGGTCCTAATAACCTGGTTCCAAGAGTAGCACAGGCATGCAGTACAGCAAAGCAGCATCTTCAGCAGGGGTAGAGGGGGAGAAGAACCGGAGTATTTCATGCTGCTTTAGGATGTAGCAGTTCGTATGGAAGGTCCATCGACCATGTTGATGGTTTTCAATGAAAACCCCCATTGTTTCCATGGGCGGAAAGGTAACAACAGGCATAAAAATCTTTGAGAGATATTTGGGAAGTTGTAGCATATCTGTGTGCAGCCACGTGAGTGAATGAGTGTGTGAGAGCAAAAAAGTGATGGTGCAAGATAATTTTAAAACTAAAAACCTAGGTACCACTTCAAAACTTTTTCTCCTTCTGTCTCCCCCACTCCCAGAATGACCAGCAAATGACTCAAACCTTTGTCAGACAAATATTAAGTTCATGGACAAGCAAATGCAAATTAATTTTTTGTTCTAGTCATATTTTTCTTTGTGCCTGTGTTTTGTAGAAGGAAGTAGAACAAAGGGAAGGGACAGAGCAGTTGTGCAATTAAATATAGCACAGTAGCTAGTTAAACACTACTTACCTCCCTCTCCTCTTAAACCCTGGTCTCTAATCAAGTCCTATAAATAAAAAAAAAAATTGTGTTTAATTTAGGTATTGTCATTTACATTCCAGAATCAATTGAGATTGATCAAATTGAGAATCCTAAGCCTCATATATTGTCCATGAAATAAACAGTTTCCTACCCTGGCTTACTAAGAGCAGCAGCTCCAAAGAACTGTTTATAACAACTACTAAACTTTTCAAAATTAGTCACTTTAAAACAGCATCTCTCAGTAGTAAAGTGAAATACACACCTCCGAAAATAGATGCTGACATGAAAATATTGATTTAAACATACAGTTGGCCAAAATGCATGGAGACATATCGAACCAAACATTCTAGTTACGATGTTTGTGGCACAAATTATTTGAACTGTCATATCAGAAGCTGGTATACCAGTTTCCCGTACTGAGGTACATCAGTCAAATGAGTTCTGCTTCATTTTTTCTTGTAACAAAGCACCTCATTTGCATAGCCAGGCGCACTCTGTACTTCTCAGAAATGACTAACTGCGATCCACTGTGAACTGAGAGTCTCTTTTACAACACATCCAGACTAAAAGCAAACTACACTAAGCGTTTTCTAAACATAAGAAAATTAGATAATTCCAGCAATTTCCCTCTCTATGTCCATTTTCATCATCAAGTTGTGGTGATTTGTTTTGGTTTGTTTTTTTTTTTTTTGTTACACGGTTATTTTATTCCTTTATATGCCTGCACTGCTGCCAAAAGCCCTGGTCCTGCCTCTCAGCTGCACCACTGCCGTATACCATATGCAAATGTCAATGCAGCACACTCTTAATACTCAGCTAACATTTCACCTCTCACTTGGCTCACATGCAAAACAGATTTTGTGCCTCAGTGTCCAGGCAGACTTCAAGACTGCTCACCTGACAAATGATTAATTTCTAGAGAGTAGACTTAAGGGTAAAATATAAGCCGTATACGTTAGCAAAATTAGAAAGAGGTTGTTGTGACCAACATTTTGAAAGGTCCTAGCTGGCCTTGTACGTAATATCAGCCATTATTATTATTATTTACAATTCAGAATCTGAAAATTTCAAAAATGTGGAAAACAAGTTAAGCGCAGCAGTTTCTGAACACTCCAAAAGAATGCTCAGAACAGTATGTACTGGGCTCTTCAAATCCTAAGGAACATGCAGTAAATCTGAACTCAGCTTACTGCAATAATTTAATTTTCTTCAATGCCAGAAATATTACTTGAATTACAGATACTAAAAATCCCTATCTTGCATATAAAGAAATATGCTTAACATATAATGGTTTGCAAGAGTGGTTACTGGCTTCCATATTCTTAACACTGTGGTACAGCTAGCAGCATGAGCCTTGCAACTAATGAAAAAAAAAAAAAAAAAAGAGCAGCAGTTTGTGGTAGAATGTCTCTTTGAAAATGAAAGGACAGGACTGTCAAAAGGCAGTTTCTACTTTTGGAGAATGGGTTATTTGCGTTTTTACAGCTCTCAACAGCAAAAATGGCTTACATGGGATCTATGAAGATTCTGACAGACCACCAAGGATTAGCTTAGAAACACAACACTCGTGCATACACATGATAAATTTAATGCACTGATATTCATAAGGGAAACATCAAATCTACTATTCCTGATCCAAATGTTATTAATACTTACATCAATATTGACTGGCTCGATTGTATTGATGTGAACATTGGGAGCTGAAGAGGATCGGTCACGTTGCCCAAATTGATTCCGATGGTCTTCATCTGCTGGTCGGAGGGGCTGTGGGATTGGAATGGATTTTGAAGGAGAAGGACTAGGGAGAACTGATGGTCTGAGAAACAAAGTCAAGGAAAAAGAGGATTTAGGTCTACAAATGGCTTCAAATACTGCATAGTGGGTGTGGTAAGTCCTTTTCAACTATAATAATACATACATTAAAAAAACTGATCTAAAGGCCTGCATAAAAACAATTTATAATGAACAATCTCTACTCCCCTATGATCAATTGCAACAACTCTCTGCTGCACAAACTACCTAATTACATGGCTGTGAAGTGTTCTGAGTTAAAACAAAACAAAACCCCCTAACATACCATACCGAACTAGTAATAATAAATCCTGATCTGAAAAATTCATGTAGCCCAACATGCACGGCAGATAGCAAGATACTCTGCGGCTTCCTCACTTCAGAATTAATGCAACACACTCTTTTTAATGGCAACCCATTGAGAACTAAAAACGCTTAACATCTCACATCAACATTACAGTCAGAAGATGTCACAAAACAAATTGCATGGATGAGATTATTGTTCAGTGAAGACTGAAAATTACATACTGGTCACTTAATATAATCGATTAATATTATGGCCAACGTAATATGAATTATTGATACTAAAAATAAACTTATCACCTCTTAACCTCAACCTTTAAGAAATAACTTTGAATAGTGCAACGTTTCAAACGTTATTTACAGTGCTACAGTTAGGCAATGCAATAGATTTGACTTGAAAGATAAGTGTTCAGACTATACAGACAAGTTTTCTGAAGAAATACAAATGCTGCCAGTCATAAATGTAGATAAAGTCTTTAATTTATGGTATCATGAATCATAAAAAAAAGACATTTGAAAGACAAAACATCTAAACACTTGCTTTTTTGCTTGTAAGAAGGCAGAATGTCACTTCTTTGGTTATCCATTTATTTTGTTAAAGTACAATAAATTGGCATTTATCTCTTACTCAAGTCAAGGTCAGTCACTGTTAAGTCTAATGATTCAGTTTAATGGATATAAGGCAAAAGGTCAAGGAGGAACATTTGCCATCTTTGTCAAAGAAAACTTTATGCTAAAATATACATGATATCTGATAGCAAGGTTTTTAGACCTTAAAGAAAACACAACTCCTAAGAGAGGAGTCAAGTCCTCCAGCCATTCAGTTACTCATGGGTTAGTTACCATGCCTGCAAAGGCAATGCCCACAGGGAGAAGCTTCAGAAATAAACCATATAGCAGCACATAGCAGCAACAGGTCCCGTTGCTGCCTCCTGTAAGCAAATGTTCCTTGGCCTCTCCAAAGATCTTTAGGGGCAACTAACATTTTCAACAGAATCTCTTGACTTTTTTTCACAAACGGATCTCCTCTAAAGACTATTACCCTACCTTTCATTGAAGAGTTTAGACAGTTTGGCACTGATCCCAGAACTCAGTGCTATCTGTATCCTAAGTACCTGTCACCTTTTCCTTCCTGGGCAACAGTCTTACAATTGAGAATGGCAAAATAGAGCACTTGCGAATTAATTCAAACAACAGTCTAGTAAGTCTTGTAATAAAATAACTTAAGATTATATTTGGGAACTGGGGCAGGGGAAGAATAGGTAGGGGTTTTAACCCTGCTTAACTTTTTTAAAAAACAGTTACCTATTGTCATGTGACAGAATAAAAATATGGGGAAGATATGGGAAGCAACGAACTGGAACTGCTAATAGACAAGTCTCTGAGAAAGGGCCTTGAACAGCCCAGCATTTCAGAAGATGCTCAGAATTTCAGAAACATTTTTTAAATGCAGTTGATGTACATGTACATAAGCTAAAGTTTTCATTCATTGCTAACAAGTGCCTCTGGGTAGAATCTTTTCTATTGTAGATGAGGAAGTTTTGAACTCCTGAACGTTTTTGTAAGGAAACCATGCAACTAGAACCCACATCAGGAGATGGAACGCTGCACAGATACAAATGCAGGACTTGGTTGACATTCTAAGGCACTGTATTTTCATGTTAAGGTAAGCATGTCAGATGCTGCACAGAAAGATTTCAGGAGAAAAGCCTAAAAAGTGTCTCAGCCAGACCAGTATGGTCATTGTTGGGACGGCTAATTTCTGCTTAAACTTCCTGAAAGTTCTCAGTAATACTGAAATTAAGGGAAATGTGTAACAACAAACATCAGATCATTGCACTAGGAGTGACTGTGAAACAGCATTTGAGCTCTGCCACACAAGAACAGAAGCAATCAGATTTTCTGTGATCATTGGTAAGCCAAGGGAGAGAAAACCAAATTGCAGAAATATTGTTTCAATTACATCCTCCTTTGAGTCATAAATGGTCATCTGCTAAGGGAATCTGCAAATACTTCTGTATTTCTGGTCACAGGTCATCATGCCCATCACGTTGCTAGCACAGATACCATGCTACATCATACCATGTTTGAAAACAATTTGAATAGCTTTTTCTACTCATTAAATTCTAACTGGGGGAAGTTCAGATCTTTAGAAAACAATTATAGGCTGATAAAGAACTCTCTTTTTTGGAGTCTCTAAACTATTATTGGGAGGATCTCTGGGCTTTCAACACCAAAGAATCCAGAGACAGGAATCTCATAAGCAATTAGCCATGTGCTCCATCTATACAATCAGGATTTCGTTAATGGGTGTCCTTGGGACACTTACAAAAAGGTAGGTTATTTTTGCTAAATGGGAATTTTGCTTGAGAAAGGTAATTAGTGAAGAGAAAGCCACAAGTGGTTTGCTAACCAAGATGGCCTACTGGGATCACAAGCTCAGAAGAGATTACCACCAGCCCCTGTGTGGCAAAAGCTATATCTTGATCTGCATCAAGATCTTGATCTACAGAAAACATGGCACCACAAAGAATGCAGCAATCCTCTTAGCTACCAAAAGCCCATTCTTGTAGCATTCCTAAATTTTAATTGCTCCAGGATGGTAGAAGGGGCACTGGAGCAAAAAGGACCAGCCACCATCATTTGGAAAATGGTGACTCCTGTTCCAGGCAAGTTACAAAACTAGTTCTGTAGGCTATGCAAACATAGTGCCAGCAAACACTGCCAGCAAACATATTGCCAAAACAAACAAACAAGCTAACAACAAAAAAATAAATCCACCACCAAGAGGACCAGAACACAACTGCTGCAAAGAACTGTTTACTGTGGCAGACATGTATAGCAGGCTGGGGCTTAAAGGAGCAGCAGTTTAAATACCAAGATCCAAGCTTCTGTTGCTCCTGTGGCCTTTGTGAGCAGTTAGCAGCCAAGCTGCTAGCTAGAGGAGACCTTCTACAAATAAGAAGGTCAACATTTTGACACATTAGAGGTTATACATCCTCGTCTTGCACACTTTCTTCCAGCCTCTTAGATGTGGACATTCCTTTAACAAACAATTCTCAGCTTCCCAGGCAACAAGCTGATAAAGTTGTCAAATCTCGATTTAATATGTTATAACCTTTCCTGGTAGTATGACAGAACATGCTTCTTCCTTGGACCATGTATGTGGGATAAGCACATTGTTCCCTCCCTTTTTGTCAAGACAAAACAGAAAGAGGTTTTGTCAGAAGACAAGAGTAATTGCAGACAGATGTAGATTTTTACTCTTTGTCAATCACAGCACGTGCCAATTTGTCCACAGATTTACTACTCCACAAAACTGGGTCCACAGGAAAAAGGAAGGTAACTCAAAAAAGTGCCCACATGTGCTATGTTATATATAAACAAATAATTTTATAAAATCATATACAGTACCTCCACCAGATCTTAGAACTTGCAATGATACAAGTTAGTTCTCTTTACAAATAAGAAATAAAATTTTAATACAGATTTTCCTCAATTTCCTTTAACTCACCAATGTGGTATTTCATATATTTAAGAGCTGGTCTACTCAGGAAAGATTTTTTCTTAAAAGAGGTTTGTTCGGGCTTCAAAATTTTTACTTGGATTTTCATTTTGCTGTAGTTAGGCAAATACTTAAACTGAAAATTCACATTCACCTAGCTTCAGTTATAGGGTGTGTGCCACTTCCCTTTTAAAATGACAGCATCTCTGCTGAACTGAGATTTTTCTTCTCCCCTTCCAAGCCTGAACAAGTGCATCTCAGCTTAGCCACAGCGCTCAGTGTAGTACACACTATTCACCTGGTAGACTGCATGCTCATACCCAAGCCAAACCTACCGCAAGCTAAAATGCGTACCAAGGCTTTTTTTTTTTTTGTTATTTACACCAGAGTATGATTGGCTTTGTTTTTTGTTACTGTTGTTAATGAAGAACACAGTGCTCTTCCATTTTCAAGCAGTTTCTAAGGACTGCTGAGAATCTGGGATACAATGGTATTTCAGCTACACTAGCAAGCAGGTAAACTGTAAATTTTGGAGGCCAAACGTTCTAATTTAATTATTATGGTATTCCATAGATATTCCCAGAAAACAAAGTAATTTTTTTTCTTTCCCCACCTCTGCAGCCTGGAAATAGTCAATAACCCTAAATCAAATGTTGATTTGGAGAAAAGGATAGCAGTACAAATTTTTAACTACAAGGTAGAGAAGATCACTCTTACAGCATCCTGTGAAGTCAGTCTAAAAGCATCATGGGATGGATCTGTAACAGTCAACTTCATACGGATTAGCACATTTTTCCATACCATTGTAACCTGTTTTCAACCGTGTTGGCTTGTAGGTGAAAAACAACTGCCAGGATTATCACAATGGTGTGTATTTATACTGGCCTTTGGGCCCAGATCCAAGCTTAGCAATGCCTTCCTAAAGTTTCTGATAGCTTCATATACCAGGGGCTATCAAGAGAACCCACACAGCTGTCCTTAGTCCTTCCAACCAGGTTTCAGTTCACTAGCATGTTTTTGCAAATAAAGTTTTGGGGAGCAAGAGGTTTCCCTCACCTATCATATAGACTAAAGATTGTTCTTCTAATGATTCTGATACCAGGCCTTTTCTGCTCAGCAAGAATGCATATCAAGTTGGATATTGTAGGAAGTCTGCTAATATTTACGTGGAGTTGTCTGGAAAAGGTCTGATGCCAGAATTTTTAGGGGAAAAGTTCATCGCTGTTTTATACAATAAAACACAAAGCTTTTGCTCACTTAAACACATGGCGATCTAAATGGTTTTGTAGTACTAAATACAATATTGTAAGACTGTGGCTTTGTTTCCTTGGCTTTTCAGAAGCTTTTGTAGACATTTAAATATCTTCAGCTGAGGCAGAATGATCAGTGAACATTTGGAAGACAGAAAGGAAAGCAGAGGTATTTAATCACAGGCTGGAGCCTGCTCTAAGGCAGGGACTGGCAAGCTTCCAAGAATGGTGCACTGGACAGTCCCTCTTTCTTCTTCAAATTTAGAAGATTAAGCATGTTGGGAAATGTTGTTTTTCAAAGAGCCAAGATGTTGCCAGCCTGCTTACTAGCAGTGTTCTGCCTCAAGCAAAGCAGACACTCAGTTTCTATCGAGTCCAACCTGCCTCTGTGCTATTCAAGTCTGACCATGCACCCCCTTATCACCCAACTCCACAGGCTACGCACCCTGCCATAATATCTGCCTCATGAGTTTGCTGAGTTTTGCCCAACATCGCAACATCTGAGAGAATAGATGAAAGTTGAAAAAGACAACTTTGGAATATTTTGAATAGCTAATCTCTCCCCTTTTCATGTATCTGTAATAGCCAGGGAACTGGGTTCACAGAAATTCTGTGCTCATATTTTACGAGCAAAGATACAAAAGAAACTTTATAATAGTGCAATGAATGAAATGAATACAATGTATTATATACAGTTTGCGTACTTTAATTTTATTACAAATGGCTATTATTAGGGAGACCTACACTTTTAATAATTCTTTCCAGTTAAGTGCAGATTACAACTAAAATGACTGCTTTGGCACAACAGGATAGTGCAAACTGAAAGAACTAAAATGGGACAAAAGACCCAAGGTGGAGGCTGGACACATTTTTGTAAGGGGTTCAGAAATGTGCAAGTGGGACCATACGTGCTCCCTTATCTTGGGGTGGAATGTCTGGAGGGACTGCCTATGGCTTACAGTTGGAAGAATGAAAGTTTACAGGACTGGATTGCTTTAGGGTGTTACACATGAGCAAAGTGAAACAAAGTTCTCCAGCATGTTTAGCAGCTTTTGCATCATGTCCAATGGTCTTTTCCTTTATGTCCCTTTCTCTTTTCAACTTCTCCATTTGACCCCTTGACAATTTCTCAGCATGTCACACACGCCTTTGCTCTGGAGCTTGTCTTGCAACACAAACTCTTCCTTTCTTTGGGCACTTTGCCTGATGCTGGAATCCCTTCACTGAAGGCTGAAGATGAAGAAGGATGTTTGCCTTCTCTTTCCTCAGGTTTACCAAACGATTAGTAACATCCCTTCCTCTGTGGGCTGTGCCATGCAAGATGCTAGGAGAACAGAGAAATCAAAGGAACAATCATTAAACTAGTAAGTGTTAATAAAGTGCTAGTTCCTCATATTTTCAATCTCATTGCTCAACTCCCAAATTTCAACCCTTTACTCTCTTCCCACACAAGATAGCTTCAAAGGTCACACTTTTTATTCCAGCTGAACTGTTGTCCCATACTGTAGCAGTACACTTTAACAAAACCATGGGTAAGTATATTTTTTTTTAGAAAAGGCCAGCAATTTTTTTTCACTCTAAAAAAATTCAGAGAAATTAATATTTCCACAATTATGTATTTAAAAAAGCAGAGAAGTGTTATTAAAGAAAGGAAAAAGGATAACTGGAGAAAGGTATAGCCAGTGCTATATCCTCATACAATAGCGTCCAAGCTGCTTCTGGAAAGGAAATACTACACACACAGATGCTTGGGAAAAATTGCATGACTTTGTAACATGCATACTACTTATGAATGCCAGCTGATAATCATAAACCATTTTCAAAATAAACAGAATTTTGAAGGCAAAACATATGCCTTTTTTTTTTGTTTAACAATGAAGTGTACAGCAAGGCAAAAAAGCAAAAAGCAGAAACCTAGAAACCTTTCACAGGTTCTGCAACTACAAACATTTACAGATGCAACACTTAGGAAAACCTCCTTAACCTCAACCGGCAAGTATATTTAAATGTTAACATTTTTATATATCTGAAGTTAAAAACCTTAAGGCATTAACCAGCTTTGGTCTCAGTTTTTCCTTTCAGTTTTTACTTCACAAAACTAAGACTGCCTGAAGTAGTGCATGTATCAATTAAGGTAACCTGTCCTGTTGTATCCTCATAAACTGGTAAGAAAGCACAAATGTGAGGCAGAGGCAATTGAAAAGTAGGAAAATTTAGCATATACCAGTATTGGGATTGGGGCTATATAGTGCCTTTGGCATCCGCAGGCGTTTAACACAGTTGGTATGAACAAGCTTCTTCACAGATTAATAGTTCTAGCCTGGTTATAATTTCAGCTGTACCATGAGAAAGGCAGAGCCTGCTTAGCTTAGAGAACCACAGCAGCAGCCTTGTCCACAACCTGCTGCACTAACATGCACAGGATATAAAGGCAACATCCACTACCTGGAAGAGGCACTTCCAAATTTACTTGAAACTGCACAAAATAGTACAAATCAGAACATCATCTCTCTTTGTACTTACCAAATGAGGTTCCCTCTGCAGGACTGTCATTCTATTTTCCTGGGAGGCATCATACTTGATCTTTCATGAAATAGTCTTGGCCGTCCAGGGTATTTCTCTTCTAGTTAGAGTCCATAGGTGCCTGCGTAGCTTCCAGCTGTGTTTCTGCTTTAGTTTGAGCACAACACTCACTACTCCGAGAGCCTCTCTGCCAAATTCAGTTCATCTCCACGCAGCACACGTGTCCTAGGAATGTTTTTCTGAAGGCTTTTGTATTTACTATTCTTAATAAATCTGCATCAGGCTTCTTGACTTGGATACACATCCTTGAGTTAACTCTTTCCTGGAGATTTGTTCAACACTCTAGTGCTCGGTGGTGTCAGTAATCACTTAGCTACTGGGAACATAATCTAAATATGATCCTTATCTCTTCACAGAGAGAGAGTCCAGAATCTTTGTTGGAAATACAGGGGATGGAGGCTGTGGTCAGTTTTAGAAGACTAATTTTACAAAACCTGGATCTGCAGCAAACAGATGCTATTGATATATCCCAACATCTAAACAGGAGGAAGACAGCTGGTCTTGAGGACACTAAAGCAATTTGTATGTGGAAAAGCTACTAAAGCAGTGTTATGAACCTGGAATTGGCATCTGTTCACGCCAATCTTATAGTGGTGTGGCTTATTCTGAAACAGAGGTATGACACTTCAAGGTAAATAAACTGTAGTTTGATAACACAAACTAAAAGAATTTGGGAGGATACAGTTTTGGTTTGTTTTAGGTTTAAGTATAAAATCTTTCCAGTTTAGACCAGGTCTAATCTACCATGCAGAAGAAACCAGTTTAACAGGTAAGGCCCCAGTTCTACAGATTCTTATGCACACATTTAACTTATGTTCATTACGAATTTATATCATTCACGTGAATGAAAACATTCACTTCTTTGAAGTTAAGCATAAGTGGATATATTTGCATGACAAGCCAGATTACAAAAATGTAGAGAGAGTTGCAAAGCAGTATTTTGAGTGTTTCTAAGTATACAGTACTGAAATGTTATGTTATTTTTTTGGAATAAGGTCATACCCAACAGAATCTGAGGGGGGCACTGAGGGGTACGATCCAGATGCTGGGGTGGTCTCTCCTAAGGAGGCCTCCTCCTGCGGCATGGGGTGATGTTCAAAGAACTTGGAGACAAACAGCAAACTGTGAGGCAAGAACAAAACAAAAACAACCTAACTTGTGCAAAACCCAGAAGCTTCACAATATAACACCCAAAGACTGGCGGGGGG